CAGCTGATGCAGGAATTCTGGCAAAGCCTAAAACTCCTGTCTTGCCAGAAGTTATTGCTTGCTTAGGTACAAGGGCTCCTGGAAAGTTTCCAAACCCTAATGGGAACTTCACTCAAATGACTGAGTAGCAAGTTCCCACATATTTCAGCCTCCCCAGTCCCTGAGATTTCCTGCTACAATACATCTTCCCTCTGTGCTCCACTCCTCATTCTCACAAGACAACCCTTAAATAGACTCAAGAGGACTTTGTGACAAAGGGACAAGAGTTAGGAGGTGTCTGGGAACAGCTTTTGGATGGAGATCAGCAGGAGGATGTGGAGCAGGTCCAGAGCAGCAGCTGCTCCTACCAATGTGTACCAACCCCTGCTGCCTTCATTCCCTGTTCAATGGTGAGTGCTTCCCACTTGGAGCTGCTCACTCATCCTCACAAACCTTCCCTGTGGCACAGCACATCCTCAGGAGGCCTCCAAATGGGGCTGAAATGGAAAGGTGGAACAATGAATCACACCAAGGGCACAAATACCCCCAGAGTAACCTGCCCAGAGTGGGTTTGAACTGCTCCCCTGCTGCAAATCCTGCCCCAAAATGGCACCAGTGGGGACATTCTGAGCAGGGGTCATGAGGTGGGAATGGGGCCATTTGCCATTCAGAATTCACTGAAAATTCGCCTTTTCCACATATATAGAAATATATACATATGGATATATATACATGCATATATATATATATGGAGATAGATATAGATATAGATATAGATATAAATATAGATGATATAGATGATATAGATGATATAGATGATATAGATATAGATATAGATATAGATATAGATATAGATATAGATATAGATATAGATGATATAGATATAGATATTCCTCCAGGATGAGGAACAGAACATAACATGAGTCTTGACAGCTGCCTGGAAAAGCAGTGCTAGGAGATGTGGAAACCTTACAAGCATCACCACGTGGGGACCCTTGGCCAGACAAAGGGGCAGTGACAGCCTGGTTCCTCTGTGCACAACAAGGGAGATGGGTCTTGCTGCCAACAAGAAGCACACACACACACTCACCACCCGAACCGTCTCCTCCTCTCCATGGTGAGCCCTGCAAGGCAGATCAGGTCTCCAAACCCTGCACTGACTCCCTGCCATGGTGGTGGTCAGCAAGCAAGCTCTGAGGGCAGGGTTTGTACCAGAAACAGGAATTTCCTCCTCTGGAAATGCTCCCCTGCACACAGCTGCAGGAGGAATCACTTTCTGCTTCTCTAGCTCAACCAAGAGGCTTCAAGGCTTCTCTGATGGATCCCTCATTACTCTAACATGCTGCTTTCCCTCCTGTGAAATGCAAAGGGTTAAATCAGCAGCAGCTGCAATTTCCAAAAAGACAGATTTTGGATAAGACAAGATTTGTTCAGCAGTGCTGCAGCTCTGAGACAACCCCCCTCCATGTGCCAGGCTGGCCAGCATCCCCAGGGAGCAGCAAAGAGCCTTCCTGGTGTCTTGGCTGCTCTGACAGCTCCTAATGGCCACCACTATTTCACACTGCCCAGGCTGGATTTACACCCAGAGCTGCCTCTGTGATGGATGCCTCCCACCAGCACTGCCCCAGCCGGTGCCAGCACAGCAGGGCCAGGCACATCCTGCTCCCTGTGGCAGGAATGAACATGATCTGGCTCTTCCAGGTCCCAGCAGTCTTTGCACAGCTGGTGAAACCCTGGTACCTCCCCAGACACCAAAGGGAGAAGCAGGAGGAGTCCCATAAAACCTGGCTCATGGAAGATGTTTCCTGACACAGAACAGAATCCTTTCTCTGCCAGCAGGCATCTGCAATAAACAATCTACATCTGCAATAAACAATCTATTTCTTGGCTGAAGGAAGCCAAGAAGCTCTTGTGATTTGCTGCTCTCTGTCCTGCTCTCTCTCCTGTAAATTTTGACTTTTCCAAGCAGTACAGGATGGGAACTCTACCAGGATCCCTGCTCAGGTGGGATACCTTGAAGGGAGCCTTGAAGGCAGAGACTGCACAAGCAGAGCAGGACTCACTGCAGGGACCCCCACCCACTTCCATCTGTGGGAGGGCATCAGAAACACCCCAAGGACAGGAAACATCCTCCTCTGACTGATTCTGCCTCAGCTTTGCCCCCCTTGTGCCTCTGCCTGGGAGGAGAGCACAGAGAGCAGCCTTGGAGTGGGAGAGAAGGAAGCAGCTCCTTATCCACCATGAGTTCTTCAGCAGGGATTTCCTGGAGTGGAGCTCCTGATGCTCTGTGCACTGCAGGAACTGCAAGGGACAGTTCAAATAAATCTGCAAGACAAGTTAAAGGCATTTAGTTATTTTAAATTCTAGCTATTATTCTAGAAAGGAGAAAAGAGGGATTTTTTTTTTTTCCCCAGGAAATTTTTGATTGGTCATAATTGGCAACACAGCCAAATTCAACCCCTGCATCTCACAGACTTGCACATCACAGCCCTGCAAAGCCAATTTTGGAATGGAGCAAGAAGATACTCTGCATCCTATGAGACAAATCACATCTGCCATGCTGCCATCAACAAAACAGGGGGATTTCTTAGTTTGGTTTGAGGTTTTGGGCTTTTTTTGGGGTAGTTTTTTTGTTTGGTTTGTTTGGTTTTTTTTTTTTATTTGCATTAAACTGTTAAATTTGTTTATTACAATAGTGGCTAGAATCCAACAGAGCTCAAAAATTCCTTTGTAGTGAATACGAAGTGTGGACAAACTGCCATTTTTAGTGACTCAGGGTGCAAGTGAAAGAACCACTACAGAATGTCCTGGTTGGGAATTTTGGGGGTTTTTTAGAGAATTTTGTTTGTTTGCTTTTAAACCAGCGGGACATTCAGCCCTCTGGGTTTTTCACTGATTTCTGCACCTCAAATGCTGCCTTTATCCCACAGCCACCGACAGCTTTGTCCTTTACCCTTTCTCATCCCACTTCCCATCAAACTAATTAAATTAGTTAAAACTGGAGAATAAGGGAAACTTTTGAGGAATTGGCAAATTAATTTTTCCCAAAGGTACTTTTTGAAACTGGTGCCTGCCATCTACTGGCAATTTTCTCAAAATGCAGCCAAAAACTGGATATAAGAACAGTTTTTCCACAGCTACTTATGTTCATCTGGCAACTTTTTTATCCCAAAGTCACTTACTCTAAATGCTAAGTTGGGGTGTTGACTTTCTTTGCCAGTTGTTGATTGTGTGATTACTTGATAGAGATGAACATTATGAAATTAGAGTAATAAATCTGTTTCCAAGACAATTACCAGAATCCTGGGATAAGCACAGTTTTCCATGACAATGATGCTCCCAAAAGAAGGAATTCTGAAAGGCTCCCTGTTCTCTTCTCTCCCTCCTTCCCTGCAACCAAGGCTCCCAACTTTTAATTACTTGTCTCTTCAGATTAACCAGAAAGGGCTGTGACTGTTTTCCCATTAGTTTATCAGAATTACTTTTACTCCACAAGATTGAAACTTATTTCAATTAATATTTTCTTGGCTGAATCTTTTTCCAGTTTAATTTGATTTTCTTCTAGAGCTGACAATACTGAAGTCCTGAGTAGAAACACTGACAACACTTTCTGAGGGGCTTGAGGAGTTGCTCCTTTTTTTACCCTATAATCATTTGATGTCAATGGGTAGTAAATTTACTTTTTAAAAAAATCTTTCTCCTTGCTAGCAGTGAAATGATTTCTATTCCAAGCAGTATTTTGATTCAACAGGCTGATATTTTAACCTCATTCTCTAAAAGCCAGGGTTCAAATCCTTAAATGTTCCCTAAAACTCCTGACAACCATCTTCAAATGACTCCAGCCTTGCCCACAGCAGCCTGTCACTGCAGCAAAGAGCCACACCAAGGCAGTGAGCCACCTCCTTACACCAAGCTATTTAAAGCAGAATGCTCTGTACTAATCTAGCAGGGAGCTGGAGGCCAAAACTTTACAAAATAAAGAGATTTTCAGGGTTTTTTTAAAGTTTTCTGTCTTCCAACACCTTCCAAGGGCCTACATCTCTAATGCCAGCAGTGTTCTCTCTATAAAGGTGACCTTAGTCTGGATACTAATAACACTTGTTCTTAGCCTGCATCTCTAGTGTAGGGTCTGCCTGTTCTGCATGTGGTGATACCTCAATAGTTTGTAAAACTGCTAAAAAGCTTCAATTTTTTGTTTGTTTGTTCATAAAGATCTACTGCACTCATTCTTACCTAACTATGATGGTTTGCAGCTTGTGACAAAGCTTGCACATCCCTAGGTTCTGACCTCAGCAGGAATCACAATCATTCCTGGAGGAAATTCTGCACCTGTGCAGCCAGGTAAAAGAACATCTGGACAAGACAGGTCTCCAGAGCCACCCAAAATTCTCAGAGCTGGCAAATGCAGTGCCACCCTCTGCCAGCCCAGCCCAGCCCAACACACCCCCCCAGCACCCCTGAAACCACCCCCTGCTCAGGCCCAAGTGATGCATTCCCAAGCTTCCTCAATTCAACAGTTTTATTTTTCTTAAGAATACTTCCAGAGGACAGAGAAACACAGACAATTGACAAGTCTTCACATTCAGCTCTTTCTCCAATCCTTTAAGAGGAAAAAAACCTGCAAATGAAATCTTTTTAGTGAGTTCCAACACTGCTCTCAGCTCTGGCTAGGAGACAGTCCCTGCCCCGAGGAGCTTCCAGTCTAAGAGAGTGACTGATACAAAGGTGAGGGGCACAGGGACAACAAGGAGGAAGGTGACACAGTTTTCAGGCTGCTGGTGCCATTCCTGGACACTGGTACATGTGTTTGTGCTGGCAGTCAGGATGGACACACTGAGGAGACCACACAGTGCACAACGTGTTCTCTCTGCAGGTATTTGGAAGGGACAAGGTAAAGAAGCTCTCAAGAAAGTTTTCAAGGCAGTTCTGTGATGAGGAAGGCATTTTTTCTATGTAGAAATTTTTGCCTATTTACATCCTTTTTTTGTTTTTAAGAAAATAAAACAGTTAATATGCCAAAAAACACATTCATCAAATCAGCTGAATTACAAAAATAAAATTTTCAAGCAATGTCTTTCTAAAATAAATAGCAATAGGTAAAAATGGAAATAAATAAATATGTAAATCCAAACTGTGTTGTTAAAACACAAACAAGAATAATTGCTTACTGAAAAGTAGCCATGGAATCCCAATTAAAGCAGCAACTGTTCAGAGCATCCTTCTCCTCAGTAACAGAGGAAAATGAGTCCCAAGCAGCAAAGAATAGATTTGTAATAAAAGAAATATAAAGGACTGTGTTCCTCATAGGAAAGTACAGAACATTTCCTTCTTTGCTGATCAACAGAGGCTAAAAACAGAGTTCCATGATATTCCCCAATGAAATTTACTGGTATTTCCAGCCAGTGGAAGGTCAACACTTTTTCCCTCATAGGATAAAAAAGAAAAGTAAAGCCCTGTCTGTGAACTTGTTTGATTATGAACATAAATCTTTAGTCCCCTGATTGAGCAGAAAATGAATCCATCTTAAAAATACTGAGCTGCTCTTTCTCCTCCTCCCCAAACAGCAACTCCCATGAGCAGAACCCAGACATTTGAGTCCCCAGGGACTGCTCAGCACAGTGAGCTGGGCCAGCTCAGCCTCGGGCAGGACACTTTTACTGCTTGGGAGCACAAGCTGCACCAGTTTGGGATGGTCCAACAGGAAATCCATGTTTCCATGGCAGCACCTTGCATTTCAAGGGGTAGTTGATTGCCCTGAGCTCCTGCTGGCAGGAGCCAGGCTCAGTTTGGCCGGTGTAAGTCACAGTGCTCTGGGTGACAGGAGGCAGGGTACCCTATTCCCCACGCTCATAAGGCAGTACCACTCCAGGAAATCTGTTTCTTTCTTGAAGGTTTCAGGTTTTTTTTTTGTGGTCCTGTATGTCCTCTTACTTTTTAAGTTGTTTTTTCTAGCTATTTAAAAGGAGCAACATGCCCAGATTAACAAGAGAGGTCAAGTAGGCAAAGATTAAAATGTCCACAATGCAAGCTCTAGGTTTACAATGTACTGGTCATGCATAAACCCCTACAGATCCTGGCAGGCATTTAAACATTTAGGTTGATGGAAGATCAAATTGCTAATGAACTGACTGCTGAATGGACTGTAGCCAGCTTGAAATCACTGGTAGGTTCTGCTTCTGATGTCACAATAATTGAAGTTATGTCAGTGGTCATCTACTTTAGCCCTTTTTGCTTTCAAGGAAAGATGCTGCAAGAAAAGAAAACAACAAAAAAACTGCTTAGCAGATATACTAAAAATTAGGAAAAAAATCAACTACAATGCTTTCTATCCTTAATCACAATTTAAATAAATTCTAACACAAATACCCACACCCATCCAACCTCTGCTTGTTACTGACACAACTAAAATAAACCCATTAAATAAAAACCTACATGTACCCCAAAGTGATATTCTGGCTTGTAATAACTCCTAGTTCTTCTGTACTAGCTGCAAGCTTGGAAGCAATTTCCCACTGGAAGCAATTTTCCAGGTATAAAAACGCACAAAAAGATGTGTTCCCAACAATACATCTGCAAAAAGCACCAGGAGAATGTCCATGAGGGACAAGATTTTAACAACTGTATTAATCCTGAAGTTGCACTGGATCTTTGGAACCTCTGAGCCCTTAAAGACCTTCAAATGTGGAATGAAATATGAAAAGATTTCTGCAAAACTTGGAATGAGAAATAACTAACCAAGATCAAGCTGTAGAAGAATATTTTTTAACAAAGTCCTATTCAGTGGTAATTTGTTTTTAACTTGACAAAGGAATAAAACCTTTCCTTCCTAGCACAAAGATGTATCCTTCAGTAGAAAAAGGGTCTGAATATCTGTAAATTAACATGAACCTGTGTGATTTCTAACAGTTCACTTATTCAAATTTCACATGTATGACTGAAAGCTTTACACAAAAGAAATATTTCTAATTTTCAAGCATTTTATAAGAACACCCAAGACTTATGGCTGATATGGATAACTGACCAGGCTAGAAGAGAGAATTTTCCCCAAAACCAGCATCATCCTTGAGAGCTAAGATTTATTTTAGGATGAAAGCAATGATTAGATCACACTGCAAACTGACTTCACTTGATCAAAAGGTAAAAAACTTGGTAAAATTTGGGTTTTGATGTAGTTTCCTAGAATATCTACAGCAGTAGTAGCACTACCCTGAAAAGCATGTTCCCTCATTCAAGACAAGTCCTCTTTGCTACCACCTACCTAAAGGAAAACCTCAGCCCAACAGGACTTTGTGTGGGTGTGGGCTGCTAAATGTAAATTATGGGACAACTGTAAATATGTGAGTCAAAGGACTAATTATTGCAGGAACAGATTTGATACAACATTGGCTGAGCTCCTTTTCTGCAGATAACTCCCAGCAGCTGAAGGCTCAAGGCTCTGCCCCACAGGGGCATCACTGCCTTTGTCAAATGTCTTATAAGAAAAAGGCAGAAAATATTCAGCTACTTAGTAAGTGCATTTATAGGTGGAAATTGTCTGGATAATTGAGATGAATTATCCAAAATGAGCATAAAAAAACCCTCTCTTGAGTCAATCACATGAACAGATGCCAAACTGTTGGGAACTGTAACCACAGAGGTGTCCTAAGGTGCTCCCTGCACCACAGGAGTCTCCATTTTGACAAAACTCCAAGGAAGTAAAAAAAAACAAACACCAGATTCTCCAAGAAGCCAAATAGTGAAGCAGATGTATAAATTAGAAACACACCACCTTTTTCATAGGTCTCATATGCAAACGCATTTTTTCACTCTGATTTTGGAAATGTTGCATTAATTTTAAATATAAAGCTCAGTAGATATTAATGTCCCATGAGAAATTCAATCAAATCAAGATCAGTTTGATAATCTGTACAATATTTATAGGCTATGTGGTACCAACAGCCTCAGCTGAACTAACATTTAGATAATATCTAATACAAATTCAGTTCTCAGAATGACCAGTGAATATGTCTGGATTGACAGATTCACATGGGACAGTCAATTCAGGTTGGTGACAACTATAAAAGATACTTATAAATAAAAGGTATCTGTATCACACACAGCAATTTGCAATAAAGCTCTGCACAAACAGCAGCTGTTCTTTGCCATTTCACATTTGAATAGATCAGAACTGATTCTTCTGCAGCAAACATAATTAATGCTCAGGATTTTCACAAATTTTGCAAAGCATGCAAAGGCTTTCCTAAAATTATTATGCAAAGTGTGACCACTGCCTACCTACAGTGCTGCTCAGGGAAATGCTACCAAGGGCCTATATTGAAGTGTGGAATGGCTGAAGGCTTCATTTCCCAAAGTGATACCATGGGAAATGAAACTTCACCAGCAAATGGATCTCATTTTGTAACTCTGAGATCCATTGGCTGGATCATAGGGAAAAACATTTCATGCATCAATTTATTAACCTCTTCCTTTATATTAAAACCACTACAATGACCAGAGCCAACTTGATTTCTGTCCCATTAGACCAAGCAGAACACAACCCCTCAGAAAGGTCAGACACAAGAGCTGCTGAGCAGCAATGGTACCGTTTGGCCTCTATGGCGATTCCGTACCGTTCCTTGCTGGTAAAAGTGAGGGGCCAGCTCCAAGAGCCATGAGGATTCCACAGCTGTCACATCCCTCATGTAGTATTTAGCAGTCTGTATGACTTCATTGTACACCACCCTGGGAGAAAGGAGACAAAAATGGATAGTGTTTGCTGTCAAGCAATGAGGGAGAGATGATTAACACATATTTAGACAGTTTCACATACATGCTGCCAGAGGTGGCACTTACAGAGTGACAAGAGAGTCCTTAAGCTGTAATTCAACCTCTTGCCTCTTTCCCTCTAGTTAGTCAGAGCTGTCCACATTAAAAAAATCTTCAGATTGCCATAAAAACAACCTCACATACTACCAGACCATAAGGGTGCAAGGTATACATAAAAGATTTCTTATAATAGGGTCAAGGGGGACTCAAAACTGATGCTGTGGAAGACAGAATATTAATTACTGTGTGATATCATAAGGGAAAATGTCCAAAGCACCAAAACCCTGCACCCACAACAAGGAGGGCACAAAGCCCAGCATGTCTGTCCCTGGCGCCAGTCTGCAGCCAGGTGAGATAAGCAGGGGAGGAAATCAGCTTCAACCCCTGCCAGAACATCTCCTGGGAAGAGATTCAGGAACATCCAACCATGGGACTCATCCCCACTGCCAGCACAGTCAGGTTGCCAGCATGGACAATCTATTTCTGAGGGCAGCTTCAGCAGGTAAGGGCATTTTCCCCAAGAAGTGCAAACCCTTGCACTGAAGGGGCAGCTACCAAATCCTTTAGTCACCATCTGCCTTCTGCACACAGCAGAGCTGCAAACACCTGAGGTTTGTGGTTTCTCATTAATTGGTATTTAGCTCTCAAAAGCAAAGAGGAAAGAGTCCAAAATTCTCTTTGCCAAATGCATCCTGAGACATGGCAACTAACACAGCTAAAAATAAATCAGAGAAAACAAACCAGAATAAAACACATTTCCTATACACTTGAAGCAGAGAGAGAACTGAAGCCCTCAATGGAGGATGGCTGCCCAGGCTGCAGCAGCACTGAAATTTAGTTTGCTGACTAAATTAACTCCTGTGTGACAGGATCACACCAGGCCAAGCTTATCCTTCTCAGTCTCAGCAGCAGGCAGTGCAGGATGGAAGTCCAAACACCTCAGGCTGATCATGCAGACCTGAGAGCTCCACACACATTTCTGTTTGTTATCTGAGAACCTTTGACCTGCAGATGGAATGATCATATCCCAGCTAATGGGAAGCACAGCCAGTTCTTTGCTCAGTCTGCTGGACAGCCATAACTTTTCACATCATGATTTTATGTGTAAGCCCTTTCCCTGCAATCCATTTGCCATTTCTGCAGCACCTGTTTGTGGTGGTGTTTGAGGGTCCCCACGATGAGGGAAGAGATGAGAATCTTGATTCCATGTTTCAGAAGGCTGATTTATTATTTGATGATATATATTATATTAAAAGAAAATTATATACTAAAACTATACTAAAAGAATAGAAGAAAGGATTTCATCAGAAGGCTAGAAAGGAATAAATAATAAAATCTCATGACAGACTCAACACAGCTGGCTGTGATTGGCCATTAATTAAAAACAATTCACATGCTGAGTAAACAATTCTCCAAATCACATTCCAGAGGAGCAAAACATGGAGAAGGTGAAGCTTCCCAGGAGAAATCCTGGCAAAGGTATTTTTCAGAAAAGATGTCAGTGACACCTGTTTGATAGGATATTTCCTTAATAGGCTTAATAAATTAACCCTAGCTCTGTTTAGGTACAGAGACTACTTGGAGAACAATCTGCAGTGTAAGATGTGATGCCCACTAAACAGGGTCACCTGGCTCTGCTTTCCAACCTCTGCAGGTTTCTTTGACAGTCAAACATCACTCTATTCCCCTTATTTATTTGGATACTCCCAAAAAATATTGCAAAGAAAACACCACTTGGATTCTCCCTGTGGGAACTGACCTTCTACACACATTCCTCCACTGATAGAGAGAAAAAATTCAATTTGGATGCTGCAAATCCCTTTAAAAAAATCCCCAAAGAAGAGGAAGCAGCTCTAACTTACCAGCGTGGAGGCTTCTCTGCATAAAGCACCGAGCTGGGGTGGATATGGAGCTCGTGGTCATCACGGATGGTCCTTGAAAACAAGATTCTATTTCAGACTGTGCCTCTCTTTATTGCTTAACTTTTGGTTTCTTTCTGCCCCAGTATGAAAAAAATAGTTCCTCATGAAAATAGTTCCTCCAGTATGAAAAAATAGTTCATCAGTTTAATAAAAGCAAGAATGAAAGGGCTGGAGTAAATTAACAATATTTGCACATTTAATGAACAGATTAAAGCAGGCTTAAATGCTGGTGAAAGGAACAATCAATAATTTGATATCCTAGAAGAGCTTTATCTACATTAAATGAAAAAGCAGCATTTCAGGCTTTTACTCAGTGCTCTGGGAGTGCTACAACACTACTGCACTACCTAACTTAAAGCAATCTAATGACTACCAGTAGCAGCTTCCCACTATTAATAATTTTAGATATATTTGCCAAAGAGAAGAGATAAACACTGAGGCAGTTTCCAAATACAGAACTTCAAATATTTAGTGCATTTATTGGCACATGTTCCTAATTGCAAATTAGGAGAAACATCAGCTTGTTGATTAAACTTAGATTTATTCATCAGGGGAGCTTTCCAGCCAAGCACCAGTTATAGTGAAATGTGTATAGTCACCTGTAAGCTCCTGTGGAGTGGAATTTAGCTGCATTAGCAAAGAATCCAGAAACTATGCACCTCAAAACAGGATCTGGATCACCTGGAAAGAAGAATTTTTCTGTAAGATGAGCCAATGGAAAGGCAAAAATCCCTAAAATACCCCTTAATCATCTCAAACAACTTTTCAGAGTGTATCAGGCTTTGACAACAAAGGCAGGAGAGCAGACAAACCCTGCAATTCCTTTTGACTTCAGTTTCACAGCAAAGCAAAAACTGCTGCCTAAAAAAGGAATGTTGCCACCTGTGTCTCCAGGAAGAGTTCCACAGTCCCTAAAGCAGCCCAGTGTGACAGCTGAGCACTGAAGGCTGATTTTTCAGAGCAGGTAGAGACAAATGCTAAGAACCAGTCCCAGTACCCAGGCACACACAGCACAGCTGGAAATCACATCCCAAAGGCAGAACAGCACTTTGAACAAAAATGGCTTTTTTGAAAAGACAAAAGAGGGAACAGGGTGACCTATTTATGAGCCTTTTGGAAAATCTGTCCATTAAATAGATAATCAGTGGTTAAAACTTCTGCTGGAAATCTCAACTAATGAAGGCTGGACTAAAATTTAATTGAACAAATAGGCTAAAGTGCTCATCTGCAGCCATTTTTAGGAAAAAAAATGTGGTCTAAATTAACATTATTTTGAGGCTAGGATAAAAATACTCCAAAGGTTACAAGAAAAGCAGGGGGCAGACTGACAGTTTGGAAACTACCTTCACTATGTATTGGACAAGAGCTGAAAAAAAAAGAAATATCACCTTCACTGGACTTCTTTGGCACTTTAAAGCGGACAAGAAGTTTTTTCAGCTGCTCTCTTACAACAGAAGCTCTCACAAGCCCTTTGTAGTTCAGAAAGTGTTCCTGACACCACTGGGAGCTCTTGCTGTGCTGTACAGTGAGAAGAGAAAAAAAATCTTAATGAGATATCATCAACAGAACAAACCCAATCTCTTTTGGATAGCCTTGTTCTATTTTAATTGTGGTCTTCTGCAACACATTTCTTGTGGTTTTCCCTGAAAATTACCTATTTACAGAGCAACTAACAAGGTATGGAGCACTAGTAACTAAAAACATGTCTCAAACAGCTTGTAAATAGCAGCAGATCAAATGCTATGGGGTATTTTAAAACAGATGTGCTTCATTTCTTCATATGTGGTGAAAGAGAAGAGCATCACTCATTCTATTTAATTCTCTCAGATCATAAATTCATCTGTTTTCAACCTCAAAATGTAAACAACCTTTTCAGTGCTGTTTTCATTGGTCTTCTCTCTGCAAAGAGCTGTTTCTCCAGAACCCAGCACTCCCTCCAAAAACTTTTGGAGTTCTGACTGTTTCTAAGAGAATTACACAGATAGAAAATCTGAAGGGCGACATTTCAGCTGTTGCCTGCCTGGCTGCTTTGTGGCTGGGGAAAAAAGTCATGTTTGAACACTTGGGTGGTTATACTGCTTCAACTCAGCACTGCTGCAAGTATTGTACTACAGAAGTGGTTTACACAGCAAAATATACTTCTCTCAAATAGGTGTAGCAGCTTCAGAACTATTAAATAAACCTCAGCTTACAGAACAGTACTAAGGTTGGTGTTAGACCTCAGGGTATGATGATCAATGAGTTCATTTAACACCAGAAAAAAAGAGTGCTAGGTTTAAATGCAGATTATCATCAGTAAAACATGAGAAAATATTAATTTCATTGGAAATTTGGACATTTGTTTTCCCCAGACCAAATCCCTGTCTCCTTGAAAACACAGCTCTCTACCCATAAGATTTCCATGCTGTACTCCAACAAAACTCTGTTTTAATCCCTGTTCAGAGGAACTGTGGAAGATCTGTGGCAAATGGTGAGCAGAGAGTCTTTTAATGTAGAACTATCACTTGATAGGCTTGGGAAGTCCTCAGCTTTGAGGACTTTTTGTATCCAGAACTTCCAGATTCAGAAGTGAGCACCTCAAGTTCCTCCTGTTCCTGCAAATCCACATCCACTCAAGCTGACTTACTTTGACAAAGGCTTCATAAACATTCAGCATGGTCAGATGATCTCCTTCCTCCACAGCAAACTTTCTGTGTTGTCTGGCCTGCAGAACAAGAAATACCATTTTATAGGCAGACTGATTATTGCTGAAATCATGTCTGACATGCCCAGTTCCCTTCAGCTCTGCATTTCCTAGGGCAGCTCCTCTGGGCCACAGCAATACTTTATTAACCCCCCTAAACTCAGGAACACTTCTAAAACTGAAACTGGAAAAATGAACTGATCAAGAATCTCCATTCATTAAAATTAGGCTATTAAGAATTTGCTACATCCTTCCTGTTTTGTTCATCTCAAAAGGAAATGGTGTGTGGGAAAGTTTAGGGGGATTTTTTTTTTTGCAAACCCATCCACTGACCAGTATTGGTTTATAACCTTTCATGTTCCTGGCCCTCACAAGGAAGTTTTTAGCACTACTAAAAAACTCCAAGGTTCCCCTGTTACTCGGTTTCTTCTTTTACCTACAACAAACAGATACAATTCCAGACCTTATTTTCTTTTCAAACAAACTTGCAGTTTGTAATAGGCACCAGTAAAATCCTTGCCAGAAGTCCAGAAATGTGGAACCAACAAGCAGAAAAGGAGACACAACTGAACTTACAGCCTGGATTTTTTGATTTGGAGGGATCACAAAGATGTTTTGAATCTGCATCATGGCAGCAATTGTCAAGATCTCTTGGGAGCAGCCAAAATTTCCTGAAGAGTAAATGGAGAAATTCAATAAAGGAAATCTTCCATTCAACTTAGCACCATAGAGAATAAAATGAAAAAGAAGCAGAATATGTTTTTTATAGTATTTAAAACAAAAATACATAAATTCCTAGATTTTTTTTTAGTATAAGAGTCAATGTTTTCAGTGGAAAACTTAAGAGGCAAATGTTAGACTTATTAGACTGTGAAATGTCTTAGATAAATTATTTAATAGAGATTTTAACCAATTTTTTCACTGCAGACCAAACAAAGATGAAGTATAGTTTGAGTTTAGCAAATGTCTAGCAATGCATTACAACCACATGACTGTGAAGAAACTGATCTTTTTCCTCCTACCTGACTCCAGAAGCATCTTTGCAAACATGGGATTCAAAGGAAACTCTGCTATTCTCATCCCAAGAGGCTCTGTTAACCGGCAGTGCATGTCCAAACCTGCAGCACAATCAGAAATGTAGCTGGGACACAGGCACAACAGCACAGCAAGGCTTCTTTTACACTTAAACTGTATTAAAGAGCCAATTACAAGCTAAAATATAGCAAATGCACCTTAGAGTTGCTAAGTGTATATTACAGTTTGCTTAAAGGCAATCCATGATACCTATTTACTCTCCCAGGGGTCATCAGGTTTATATTTCAAAAATACTTAACACACAAGTTTTTTAATTTTGACCAAGTTTCACTCTTACTGTCAATAATTTAAAAAACCTGCAGTCCAAGTCAATGCCATGGCCAGAGGGGATATTAGCTGTTAGACCTCTGATCCTCTTGGTAAATATTTAGTAACATCTTTGTTCATGGGGATGTAAAGCAGATGAGAATGAAAATGGGGAAAAACATGGAACAGGCATTATTGCAGGAACAGGAGGCACTGCTGATGGTAAGGTGTCATTTTTCTTAGCACATCTGTCAGAGATATATTTTCTGAAAAATCCTTTTGCCAGGATTTTTTCTCCTGAGAAGCTGAGAAGCCTCAAAGGAAAAGAAAAACAATAATTATCTGCTGCTGTGGAATGGAACAGGTGCATCTTTGATTGGTCCATGTGAGTTGTTTCTATTTGATGACCAATCACAGGTCCAGCTGTGTTGGGACTCTGGTCAGTCACAAGATTTTATTATGATTCCATTGCTTTCCTTTCTTTGCTAGCTTTCTGATGAAGTCCTTTCTCTTTCTTTAGTATAGTTTTAATATATCATTTTCTTTTAATAGAATATATATAATAAAATAATAAATCAGCCTTCTGAAACATGGAGTTAAGATTTTCATCTCTTGCCTCATCCTGGGACTCCTGTGAACAGCACCACACACATCTACTTAGATCATGGAGAAAAATAATGCATTATTATGCAAACAAGAGATGCACAGCTGATGAAGCTTTCCTACAGTTTAGTTTGCCCCATGTATCATCCACTCAGCTGCCAGTCATGCTCCAGCTGTGGCCTTTTTCCTGGAGATGGCACAGGAGGGAGGCCTGACAGCTTGATCTGTGATGGCCAAAGCAGCCTTGAGCAGCCCTGCACATTTACCATTTTAGAGGTTTGGCTCCCTCCAGTCAAACCCCTGCAGTAAGGGTGACCCATCCAAAGCACAGGTCACAGTCTAACTCTGAGCTTTGTGCTGAGATTTCAGGGAAAGATTTAAATGGAAAAGCCTTTCCTTTGCAAGAGGATGTAGGATTTAAAAAAGTACAATACACAGGGAACAATAATAAGGAAAAAAACTTGCTAAGAAAGGCAGCAAAGAGTAAAAATTGAAAGAGAAAACTTCAAGAAGCTCAGTAGTATCAGGCATGACAAAGAGATAAAGCACAAGAGAAAGGCAACAAAGCAGGGGTGAGTGAGAGCCCATAGCAGGACTTTGGGGCACTGCAGGTTGCATAACCAACCACAGCAAAGCGACCTGAGGAAACACAACCACAGCTCTCACTTTATAGAAACACAATATTTGTCAGACTGTGTGGTGTAACAAAGCCACGGCTGCACTGCAGCTCTGTTTCACAGAGAAAAGCAAAACCACAATTCAGGTCAAGGAATGAGATCTCCTATAACTCATGTCAGCACATCTGAACCCACAGATCCCTCCAGCCAGTGTTTATTTTATTATTTGATACGCTACCAACTGATGACAATGTAGTGATTCACTCACACACCCCTACACTGTCCAACAAAACCTACCAGAATTTTCACACAATGTCACAGAGTTTTCCTCAGAAACAGGTACCAAAGGCAGCTTTTGTGCAATGTGAACTAACATTAAACACAAAGTCACCTGCAAAAATTAAGGCATGACAGCTTTCATTTGACTGGTGCCATATGAGAAGTTTAAGTTCTACCACAACTAAGAGCTTAGATAGATTTTCATCTACAGAAAGGCAGCTGCATTCCTAAGTAGGAAAAAGGAGAAATTTCCATATATTTATGCACCACTTTCTACAGGTGCACCAAGCCAAAATCCTTTGGCTTCTGCTGCATCCAACAAATGTCAATACAATTTTGCATGACCTATATATGGGTTGTGCACAGATCTATTTGTAGTAATAATCCTGAATATATCCTCCAATGGATATTAGTTTGGAATAGGTGAAAGTTTCCTTCAAATAATCCTGAAAGGAATCGCTGAATCCACATATATACAGGAAATTAAAGATCTTAGAAAAGGATATTATGAAGATTTTAATTAAATGTGCTCAGGAGAGACTATTCAAGTACCATGGCACTAAAATGTTTCAAGTAACAATCACTAGTGTGTGACATGCTGAGGCATTAAAACTATCCTTTATAAACTTAGGTAGAGTAACTGTTTCTGATAGGTGACAACTGTCAAACAAATCTTCATCAAAGACCTGAAATAACCCTAAAAATAAAGCCACTTTTTGCTTGCTTATTTACCTCTTAAATTATGCTTAAAACCAATATACTCCAACTGACAACTCAGACTCTCAAAAAGGCATCAAAGGAGATATATTCCTGATGTAATCAGTTTGCACCACTGTAAAAATAATCCCTCTACAAACAGTGATGTGTTTATTCAACACAGCTATCTCACCTTGGGAGCATCTGCCCTGCACGAGGTGGCACCACCCTGGCACAACAGGGGCCTGAGCCCAAACTGCCTTTTTGGATGTGGCTGCAATGCCAATGATGAAATTCATGTTCCAACTTGCACAAGAGAAATTTAATCCTCACTGCACCTGCAAATGCTTGGGCAGCTTTACCTCTGCACTTTATATAAAATCTTCATAATAAACCACTAAAACTTGACCTTAAACTTCAGCAAAAAATGAAGAGTGTATCACACACATGCACACACATTTCCTTCCATCTGAAACACCAAGATCAGCACTTCTCTGCTCGGCTACAAAGCTGTGCAGCCAAGAGAATAAAAGCTCTTTGAAGCTACATGAGCAGAACACTTCTGCCAAAACATCACCCAGCTAATCAGTGAGTTTATTGAACTTTCCTCTCCATTTCCCTAAGGTGGTTTTGGCTGTGAATTCATCCTTGCAACACATTCCTGAGCCACTGTGAAGGTCCTTGTTCCAAGCTTGCAGAGGTTGCCAAGAACCAAGTGTCTTAAGTGAAACCCTCCTTGGTGAGATGGAACTGAACCAGCACAGGGCAAAATGCTGGCCAGGCAGTTACAGCTCCATGAGAATAAAAAGAGAGCAGACTGCCACAATTTACAGCACAGCATCTGGGAGTGGTCTAAAAACAGCCACAAACCTCTGGAAGCTTCCAAAACTTACACAATCTCCTTTATGCTGCCTCATGTTTACATAATGGAGCAAACATTGTCAACTCTGAATTAGCTACAAACAAGGAGCTGAAGTCAAACACAGCTTAGTTTTGACTACTTGGCCTCACATCAAGTTTCTGTTTTGTTTAGTTTGTTGCATTCAAAAAGATTACACAGCTGTCAAAAAATCTCAACAATATAACAGTTCTTCCTTTAAACAAAATTAGGCAGCAGTCATCCCACTCACCACACAAAAAGGAGTTGAAAACTCTGTATAAAAACATATTACTACGGTGTGATCTGAGTGTTTAAAGTAGTCAACAGCAGCATAATGAATAAAAGCAGAATGAACACACAGAATCAAAGAATATCTCAAATTGGAAAGGACCCACCCATAAGGCTCAAGTCCAAGTCCCTGCTCCTCACAGAAGCACCTAAAATCAAACCATATGCCAACAGTGTTGTTCAGACTCCAGTGAATTGGAGAACAAGCTGTCATTAGTAACACAGAGAGCAGAATTTTAAAAAGATACTCTTTTAGGTAGCTAAATAGTAGAAAAGTACTTTGAATTATGCTCTCAAGATCTGTCAGACTAATCTTTTCTTTTCATTACAAGTTTGTCTGTGTATCTGTTGACTTGTCCATAACTGGCAAGTTCAATACTAAAACTAGAGCAGAGTCTTTGCAAGTGGCATGCATTTAAAAGCATGAAAAAACAGAAAGCTGTTCACTGAAACACAGTTTCAGTTCATCCAGGAGAAAATGAGCTGGCTTTAGGGGTGATCAGGGGTTTTTGTTACTGGTTGTATCCTGTAATCACAGCTAATAGAATCAGAACAGTTTGATTTGTTGTGGGTTTGAACTTTTCCTCAGCTGCAGGAGCAACAGCACAAACATGTGAAATGAAGAGCATTACACTACAGCAGGTGTAGCCTTTCAGCCACAGCCCATCCTGCATCCAGAGCAGAGAACAGACTGGAATTCATGTAAAAAATGATAATTAAATTAGCTCTTAATTACTTCTGTCAGTAAAACCTTCAAAATCATAGCAAGGAGGCAGTTTGAAAACTACCACAGTCTCTGTGGGGCCTCACGCACAGCCTCCAGGGACTGAGCTCTCCCAAATTCAGGCATCACATTTGACTCACAATGCTTAGGCAGAGTTGCAGCACACACACAGCAAGATCAGATAATGACTGCAATGTGTTAACAGGAAAATTTACAATAGACAGAATGTGCTTTTCGAAGTCCCACTAAGGAACAAAGTTGCAATTCTATCAGCCTTGATAAAGTCTGGGTTATTATAATCAAACCGTTGCTTACAACTTTTCCTGTTTATATCTGCAAGTGTTACACCTTTCCATAAAGACCACCACACCAAGTCTTAGGTTTGTAACAATTTATCCAAAAGGGTGCAGGTAAAGTTAGTGTCTGACTCCTCTACTGCTCTGATTAGTGTCCAAACTCCATTTTTATCATCATACCATTTTGTAAGGACTGAAGGAACACAAAGAGGATCTGCCAGGGAAAAACACCCTCATCAGCTCAGAACCCTGTTCCAGGCAAGGATAAATAGGTGGTTTCCCGTCATGAAATTGCAAGGAAACACAGATAAGACAGCTATAAAATACTCATTTACCCAATTTAAATAGTTTAAACTCCATTGCTGCTGTTTGTTTGCTTACCCATCTGAAATAATCAAAAGAAAAGACAGTAAATCTAGAAGAGACTGAGCTACACTCTAAAAACCCACCAACAAAAGTTTCCATCAGTCACACCTGTGTTTCTCCTTCTTTCTCAAAGCACAGTTCTGAAATGCAAATTTTATTAATGTCCATCCAATCACCAAATAAAAATTACAGCTTTTTATCACAACTCCTGCAATATAGCTCCAAATAAAGCAAAGCATTAAAATCTCACCTCCCAAAGCATACAGCAGCTCTAAAGCTTGCACCATCGACTGTGCAGGGGGTGGCTGTGAAGAGAAAATGGGCATTGATTGAAATTATCAGCACAGAACATGAATTCATAGATCTTCATTTCTGCAAAATCCTTAACTGCCTGCTCTCTGCTGCAAAGAGCTCTCACAGTCTTCCTCCTTCATGAACTCGGTGCAAAGGGACTGCAGTTACAATTCTATAGAATTGTAGAAGTTTGTCTTTTGTCTTTTTAAGACTTTCCTAACTTCTCAACAATTGAAACATCAAACTCTGGAATATAAATGGTTGTTTCTAAGTGGTCACACATATTATTTGCACTATTGATTCCCAGAATACACTTTGCTGCCTGACAGGGGACAATGAGCTACGCTTTCCAAACCAGCAGGGCAATGGTGAATGGTTCTGTGGCCATCCCCAAAACATCCCCTGAGCCCTCTTCAGCCCAAGGAAAGCCTTCAGAGCCTGGACTCACCGAAAGGAAGGGGAACCTGAGCACGTTGTCAATGCCCAGAGCCTTGAGCTGCAGGATGACAGGGGCCAGGTTGCTGCGCTGCATCTCCGGCACCGTGGACTTGGGCAGCTTCTCAAAGTCCTCCTCTGTGGGGGGAGAAAATCACACCTGGGGACTGAGCTGCAGCTCCCATGATCTGCAGTCACCACGAAAAATCACACCCATTTCAAATTTAAATTATCACATATGGATAATTTACAGCTGTTAAAAGACAACCTCTAACCTAAAGATGATCTTTCTCCAATTACTGTATTTTACAATTCAATGGTTTTGGCTACAGTTTTGATTTCGTAGTTCACCCACCCACATTTCAATTTGAAGCTTCACAGAAATCTGGAAATGTTTTGTTTCTCTTCTGCTTCACAGTTTTGTCAGAAAATAAAAGGCAGGGTGCAATACTACAAAAAAAGCATTTCTTTTAAAGAGACATGGAAAAGTTTCAAAGCAGCATGCTTTCAGTACAAGAACACTATTTTCGTAACTACTCAAATATATATTTTAAATAAAGATTAAGGATGGAAAAACAATTTATTTAACAATGCCTTTTTAAAATCACACTCACTATAAAGTCCAAGTCTGGAAAAATACTCCATGTAAGGATAAAACCTTCCACTAACTAACCAACTGTTCTGCAGTAAAAAGAGGGCACATTCTACATTATTTTAATTTCTACAGAATGCTTTTCTATCTCAAACCTTCCCTAGGACAAAGACAGTGCTGTTTCCCTGCTGCTGTTCACTCTGTGCATTTTCTTCTTTTCTGTTTTATTTTTCCCTCCTTTAAAACACTTCTTAAAGCACTCCCTAAACCTTGAGCTCTTGAGCACACAAAAATATCTTCAGTGTAGTCATGGTTTCTCCAGTAAAACACTCCCAAAGCTATGTAAGCTTGGGATATTGTGTAGCAGAATTTGTCTCCTGATTCTTACAGGATTCATATAAATTCAGGGCATAAATCATGGCTTGGTTTAATGTGGCAACTGCTGGCAAGCACAAACACATTTTAAAGGAAAATGCTTCATCTCCAACATCTCAGAGCTCCAGTAAAACTAGAGGGGACCTGAAGCCCATCAGCAATGGGAGTGTTCAGCTGCAAAGCCTTTTCTCATTAAGCAGCTGAGAACAGACACTTTGATTGCAGCTCTCTGGACAGTGTGAGGTGGCCAAGAGATTTCTTTGTAACAACAATTTTTGTGCACTGCCAGGGTCATTGATTCAAGGGAAGAATTTGGGGTTGGCAGCTATTCCTAGGGAAAAAAGAGACCCAAAGTTTTCTCTGAATTACAAAAAGGATTTCCAGAGCCCTTTTGTTAAATGCAAGGTCTATAAAGACTTCAGTCAGAGAAGAGAGATTATAATACTGGTAAGCAGAAAAAGCTGAAACTGCTCAGAAACCAAAATCCTTAAAGAACAAACTTCCTAATAAGCTCACCACTTTTAAGAGCTGCATCAATATTTCATGTTTGCAACAGCTGACTCTGCCCCATTTGTGCTTCTGAGTCACAAAAAGATTTAGTTTCTAACACCTAGCACATAAAAATGAGGTATTTCTAAACAAGCCAGAGGAACAACTGTGGAATCAGAAAAATAGAAACTTCCACAGATACTAAAGAATCTGATTTACAACCTCAGAAGAAGCTTAAACTGATGTAAAAATACAATGCACAGACATTAAACAGAAAAATTATAAACTTATGTTTCTATAGTTCTAAGCAAGAATATACCTTAAGTAAGAAACTGTATTGATAAGATAGTGAAGGGATTATAATGCAGGGGTGAGGTTATATAGATAATATAGGTTATATATATGTAGTGTAGAGGTTATACAGAATAAGCTAAGAGTTTAGAAGTTATAATAGAAACATGTGTATATACAA